GGAAAGAGAGGTTATGATCATAAGAGATTCCTTAGAGGAGATTTTCAGTAGAAATAAGTGAGTTTATATATGCTGGACTTAAGGGACCTTATTTGACATATTCTTCAAAGAGCCAATGCTCAGAAAAGGTGAATTCTGACTGGAAGCGGTCCAGGGAGGAAAGGCAATGGGATAGTCAGGGAGGATAGGGTTTTGTCTGAAACAGCTGTGTGCACTTTATTCCAGAGGAACAAAGGATGAGTGGTGGTGGCTGGTCCTCCAGATACATCTGGAGAGCCAGGGAGGGAGGCGAGCTTGCTAAAGGGTGGTGCTGACCATGAACAAACACAGGCTGGGCTTTTTGGGGGAAGTTTTCTAAAGAGGGATGTTCAAGATAACCTTTTGGTAGGCTATGGACCCCACATAGTGCTGAGCTCAGTGCTTGACTTCTGTATAAGAGATTCTGTTGAAAAAAATTAATAAGAATTAATGATATTGCCTGTGGCAGTGAGGGGCTGGACACAGAGATCCAGCTCAATCATCTGATGATGACCATCCATGTCCCATGTGCCGCCTCCCCCCTCCAGTATCTTCCCACTACAAGGAAAATGAGATGGGCTGCCAGGCCATTTGTACCAGTAAGTGGTAGCTAATTCCCTCTTCCCATAGCTCGGGAGGAATGGCAGAGTCTGCCCCTATTTGGTTTTAGTTTGATTTCCATTCAGTTTCTACTATTTATCCCCAATTTCAACAGGAAAGGTCTGACCTTGTTCCTCAGAGAACAGCCAAAGTGAAGGTGTGTTTTTTAAGCTGAGGTAGGTGCCAACATTGCTGGGTTGCTGCCTGTCTGGCATGAATCTGAGTAGGCAGCATTAAAACTAACATTTTTCATTTTCCTCAGTCAGACTCACCCTAACTTTTGCCCTAGACATGAGTGCAGGCATAGGTTTGGACCATCACTCCTGGTGGCATGGTTTCTCACGGTGCCCTGCAAGCAGGGCTTGTCTCCTCATCTCAAATTGGTCTGTGGCTGTACTCAGACAGAAGGGTTTGGGGAAGGAAGGGCAGGAGGTAGAAATCAGGATGGACGTGTCAGACTAACCCTCTGGGTAGAAACTAGCATGTGAACTTTGTTTTTGCCCATTAGTGACCTTGGGTTGCTGGGTTTTGGCATGCAAGTGGGCAAACATGCAGTGAAGAGCCTGTATGTCCCCATGATAGTGGGGGAGGGGAGGGGGAGGCTGGTAGTGGATGTCCTGGCTGAGGATATCTGAAGCTCTGGTGATTCCCAGTCCCATGTGTTGGTCAATTCCCTTTATGAGCCTCAGATATCTCTCTCACAAAAATCACATGGGGCTAGTTTTGCTAGCCTTTATCTGTGGAGCGCTTTGAGATGTAATGATGAAAGACACTGTATAAGAGCTAGGAATTATGCCATTTATTTTGTCAAGCAAAAGGAAAAGAAAAACAAGCCACCAAAGAAAAAGCCAAGGAAATATAGTGATAGATCATACTTCAGTAGATGTAAATCAGCATAGCTCCATTGCCTTCAAAGACCAGGAGCAGCTGTTGAGCACAGTTATGCCGCTTTACACCAGCTGAGGATCTACACTGGACAACTTTAAATATTGAATCTCAATGCTTTTCAGATAGTAAATGGGCAAAAGGAGAAAAGAGATTTGTATCTGATGTTACAGTGGTACAGCTAATGTGCCTGGCTTTAAATGAATTACAATCCAAGAACTGCAAGCTCTAGCATTTTCTCCTGCTGTTTTGGACACTCTCCCATCCCTGTGGTGATTGATGCTGTGCTGGAAAACAAGTATGCAAGGAATTTGTTTGGTATGCTCCAGAGTTCATATGTCTTCATTGTAGGTAGTCCATATTGTGTCACGCCGTCCTTGAAAACCCTGCAAAAGAGCTTACAATTAAATTTGAGACTGTGAAGCTGAAACACAACTGTCAGGTGCCAGATGGCATTTTGGAACAGAAGGATTTATTCTAGTTTACAAACAACAAAAGAAAAACTTTGCTGAGTTCTTGCAAACTCCCTTGTCCAAGGAGAATGTGAGGGTGGAAAGGGAGAGGAGCAGCCCACAAAGCATGAGTGCTACATGAGCAGGTCACCTCCCCAGGGGTCAGGGCTCACCCAGACAGGCTGATGGATTAGCAATTCTACTTGATGTGCTCTGGAGTCGGGGATGTTTTCTCTCTGTCCTGAGGTCTGGCTTCAGTGGCTCTTTTAGGTGCATGGCCTAGGAGGAGCAACAAGCCGACTTTGGCTGGCCTGAACCCACACCGTGCACTCCTGAGGTGCTACAGCTGAAGCTCCCACAGCATCATTTAGTGCCACTGACAGCAAAGCTTGTTTGGCTCCTGTGGGAACCAGGCACCCACAGAGGAACAAACTAAGGGTGGACACCGGGCTCCCCAAGTGGTGCCCATGCATGGCTCTGCAGTGGGGAGCAGAGCCACAGGGCTCCCTGGGACCCACCAAGCGGCTAGCCCCCCACTCCCCTGCCCTTGGGCATGGCGGCCTCAGGCAGCATTTCCAAGGTCCAAGTCAATTCTGCTAACGCAGCTCCTGTCAGAAGTTCTCCTTATTTATCTATTTGCTTGCTTTCTCCAGGCATGCAAAACACATGCCATCATCTGCCTCCCCCATCCCCACCCACATCTCCATGAGTCTGTGCTAGGGAAGCATATCCAGCCCTGCGGTGGCCTCCATAGCCTCACGATGGCAAGGAGGAGAAAGGGGGACCTCAAGGAATTCAACCAGCCAAAAGCTGCCACAGGGGAGCTTGAAGCTGGAGCATGGGTGTGATGCTTCACCAAGCAGCCCTCTAGGGTGGTGGCTTGCTTTATTTGGCCATGGTGGCCAAAACACCATCTCCTGGGTGGGGCAGTGAGATGATACACAGTGAGGTTACCTGTGTGTCTCTGGTGCTTTCAGTTGGGAATCGCTCCCGTCTAGCAGTCTGTACCCCAGGTAAACTCCAACCCTTGCAGATTTTGCTGTAATGTGAAGAGACCGTCATTCAGTGACACATGGGAAGAGGAGGGAAAAGAAAAAAAGTTTTGGAAATTCTTTAGTATGCTGAAACTTTGCTCTGTTCCAGTGACATTTCCTAAGTGATTAAAAAAAAAAGAATCCTTGAGAAAGATGAGGATCATCAAATCAAAGCAATTTAGCACATCGTGACAAGAAAGATTAGCCCTGCCCAATGCTCATCTTGGTTGAAAATTATTTAAATAAAGCTATAAATCTTCTGGAAATTATGCAACATTTTGTGTCAACTGGAAACTCCTGCCTAGATTTGTGTGTGTAAAATTCAGAAATTAAACTCACGTTACTTTGTAAGTGACCCATTTGAGACAGTCATTTCCATACAGGCAGAGCAGGGACACAGCCGCTTGTCAGGCAAATATGTGACTTTGCCCGACCTGTTGTCATCACTTGAGCTTTGCTGCGCAGGTCCCATCTCGTGGCTCCTCTGCAGAGTAGCCGATGGGCTGGAGCAGGAGGGCAGCCCATGGACCTGGGCAGCTGCATCTGAGTGGGATTGATGACTGTAGTCCTTGCTGTCTGGCTCAGCCAGAGCACACAGAAGTTAGGAAGTGGCAATGCCATCAAGCTGCTTGGTGTGCCATGGCTGGCCAAAGAAGCAGCAGGTCTGGCTTAAATTCAAAGACTTGAGCCCCTGGGAGGTTAACCCCACCCCACAGCTGCAAAAGGACCACTGTGAGGTTTGCAGGATTAATGCCTCCTGTGCACTCCTTGAGTCCCAGGGAGGAGCAGAGTTTCAGACTTGCCTTAGGGTAAGAATTTCAGACCTCCTGCTTTTGCAAAACAGAGCAGATTGCAGCCATGGTAGTCTCTCCAGGACTGATTGTCTTTCATGGCTTTGATGATTCTTTCACTGAAAGACTGCAGAGAGAGGTAATGTCTTGTATTGGGCCAATAGAGAAAACTGGAATTAAAAAACAGAACAAAAAAAGCCAAACCAACATGCAAACAAAAAAGAGGAAAGTTGTTTGGATGGGCAAGGCTTACAGTATGTGCCTACAGCTCATTTTTTTCTACTTGTAACTACACCTGTTGGTCTAATCTATGGTATAATCCTCCCTGCGAGTTGTGACCTGATGTTTGCCGCCATGGCTCTGTCTGCCCACACAGTTTCACTTCTTGAATGCATACTTGCACTTGCAGAGCAGAGACACAATACTGCTACTTTTCCCACTAAGAGCCCTGAGATAAGCTCGTTTGGAAGCTCCAAAGCTCAGGTTGCTGCTTTGATGTGAGCTTGTCCCAACTGTGCGGTTTAATGTTCACAATGGATTTTCTTTTCCTGTAAAATGACAACTGAGACAGAAGATCTTCCAGTCCCTCCCCATGTCCCAGAGGAGGAGCTGCTCAAATACCAGCATTCCCATGGCCAAATGTCTGCGTTGTGTCTCCACTGTGAAACATCTGTGTCATGCCCCAATGGCCACATATCTGCATGCCAGCACTCAACTGATCTTTCTCTACTGAGGGTACCATTACTATCTGTGATTGACTGTATCCGGAGAGGGTTATCTTGGCTTCTTTTTTTTTTTTTTTTTTAAATTCACTTTATTACCCTTCCCTGTTGGAGGTCTGCCATTCTGGACACAGATCATCATTACTTCATGTCAATCAAGTCAGCCTAGCAAATAGGAAACTGCTTCTTCAATGTCTATTAAAAGGTTACTCCTGGTAGAAACAGGGATGGAACAGGTTAAATAAAAAAACAGAATGAAAGAAACTAGATTAATTCACACTTTTTCTCAGCTTTTCAGCTACAACTGGATGGTACCAGCCTTCTTTTCCAGGGTGTGGGCACCTGTGCAGAAGGGAGGTGAGAGATAGTGGGGGAACAACTGATGCCCCAGAATAGGTCTCTCAGCACTGTCTTGGATATGTGCACATATCAAAGAGGGAGATAACTGGCATGCCAGTTTGGGACTGACAGGCAATAACCTGTTTGTTCTCTGTCCCACTTTGCAGCTCACTTGTCTGACGTGGTGGACAAGACACAAAAAAGCACCTGCCATTGACCTGAAAAATTGCAAGACTGAAGCAGCACAGCTCAGTCCAGCCAATGGAGAGGGAGCCTTGGTTGGAAGTGCAGATTCAGACAATAAGGAGGAGGCAGGTAGGGTGGCTGGCTGTGAACAAGCACTCTCATGTGGTGTGCACAGCCAAGATCTCATGCAAGTCCTTCTAAAGCTCATGAGAAGCCATCTGTTGCATTTACTGGAGTTGGGGATTGTATTTATGGGTATACCAGCGATGAGGATGTGACAAATGAAAGTGTTGTTCTTCTTGGTCCTCCCAACATATCTTCTAGCATTTACCTTCATGTCGCAGTCCTCTGAAAGGCTCAGAAGAGCTGCCATTCCAGAATAACAAAGAAAACTCACCATTCAGTAAAATGTTTTTCCTCCTCCTCCCTAGAACAAGTTGTGTACCCAGGCAAACTACCCCGGTCCAGCCCTGCCCAAGTCACAGTGTTATTTTAGCACTTCAGGCCTGGACACTTAATGGTATGCTGGACTCCTTAGATGGGAGTCAACGGCCACCTACAAACATCCCTTGGGAGGGTGGAGGTCTGTGCTGCTGGGACACTGCTCCTCACCCCATTGACACTGGGGCTTTGTGCCGTGACACTGCATCTATTTGTCTGTCTCACCAAGATGATCTTGAGGAGCTCCATAGCACTACTACAGGCATAACCAAAGCGTCAGCTACTGCCAGAGCTGTGAAAGTCGCAGCAGGCTCTGTAATTTCAACTTTCAGCATATAAAAGTGGCATCCCTTCCTGTCCTCATCATTGCTAGGAGGTAAAACCTTTGTGTATGTGCTAGAGATGCCTTCTCCTTAATCCTGTGTGAGCTCTGCTGGCCAAACTCACTCAGTGATGCCATAACATACTGTATCAAAATAGTATCATGGTCTTGAAGGGACCATGAGACACTGGGAGCAGATGTGTGCACTTTGTGGCTGTCCTAGCATAAATCTACAAGCCTCAGTTTTCTCATTTACATTATGCCAACAATATCTTCCATCTTCCCTTAGGATCCAAGCCATCATTAAAACTCAGACCCAAATTGCTTAAATAGCTGTGTGTCCTACCAAGAGTATTTAATAAGAGGGAAGGCAAAGAGTCAAATTAACTTAAAGAGTTGTCAGGAGACAGAAAAGTAGCAGGACATGCTACATAGGCAAGTTTTTTTCAGAGTGGACAGAGGTTTATTCTGCAAATCCATTAAAAAAATGCAGCTTTCTGGTTTTGAGCTTAACCTTCCAAGGTTACAGAGCAGAAGTCAGAAGAAAGGCACATACACAAGACTTCTTCACTCCTGCCTTTTGCTGGTCTGTCCAAAGGACACTGGTACCAATTACAGCCAAGCTAAACAGAAGTGAACAACTAAAGAAATATCTTTTTTTATCTTTTTTTTTTTTTTCCCAATAGAGTAAGTTTGGGTTTAAGTTGAATACAGCCATTCAGTATTATTTATTATTTCTTATCAATTCCTAGTTCATTTAAATAGCTCATATTTTTATAAACAAATGTCTTGGTATTTTGGTAATTAGTAATGATGGGCAAGGAAATGCAAAACACAGCAGTTGACAGTTTAATGAGGTTTTTTTTTTGGGTAACACCTTTTTCAAGGCCTTATGACATTCTGCATTTCAAAAAATATTTGGAAAGCACAGCCAGTGAAATACACACGGCACAGGGCTGACAATTAAAACACATACTTCACCTGGCATGTCAAGTGTAATAAATAAGCCAGGAGATCTCTAAATGGACCATCATGCTGTCAGGAATTTGTGAAAGTGGATGGAAGCAGGCTCGGAGAGGAGGGGGAAGAGGTCTGTTAATTAACTAATGAACGATTGGTGTTGCAATCAACCAACTGTAATCAGGCTGTGCTGTACATGGTTGAGGCAGAGTTTCTCTTCCTTCCCTTCCTTTCCCTTCCTTTCCCTTCCCTTCCCTTCCCTTCCCTTCCCTTCCCTTCCCTTCCCTTCCCTTCCCTTCCCTCAACTCCCATCATCTCCCATCCCTTCCCTTCCCCCATCTCCCATCATCTCCCATCATCTCCCATCATCTCCCATCATCTCCCATCTAAGGTGCATCTCAAGCCCCACTCCATATTGGTCAACGCACCTCCAAACTGGTGGAAGGAGGGAGGGAAAAGTCCCAGCTAGATGATAACACCCATTGTTTTGTCTGTCTCTCACAGCATCCAAGCCTCCCTGCTGGAAAATGCTGTGTTTGTGGTTCTGCGGCCTGTCCACCGGCCCAACGCCCACCCTATCCCAGGAGGAGAGAGCTGCCCTGGAGCGGAGACTCACCAGCATCGAAGAAAAGGCCCTGTGGAAGACTGTTTGCAATGTTAATGCTATTCTCCTGCTGACCATTAATGTCTTTCTGTGGGCGTATTTCGGCTGAGGTGGGGTCAGGCAGCACCTGCTGGCTTTGGTTTCTCTCAGGGGTCCTCATCTTCATGTGTAAGCCAGAGGCATCAGGTAACAGAGACCCTGGTGATGGTCCCTGGAGGCGCTGGCATGCCTTGGCACGGCCCTTCCCCACAGGCACTGCTTGCTGGAAGTGACTGCGGGGCCTGGTTTCTCCATAAGATAAGGTCTGACCAAGACTCAAAACTGGTCACATCCAGGATGCAGGGGACGTGTGGGACAGCATGTGGGTGAAGTCAGGACACCTGGGGTCAAGTTTAAAGCTGCAGAGCCAAGCCCAGCAAGGAGCAAAGGCTTTGGAAAGTCCGTCTGTGGCATGGCTGGGTCCTCGCTACCCTCATGCACCAGCTTGGGGCTGACTTTGCACCTCTGCTCTTAGTGGAAGGACTTCCAGTTTACACTGGTGTGGGGAAGGAGACTTAAGCACTACCTGCAGTTTTTTCATACGGCCAAAATTCAGATGGGGTTAGTGTGGAACTACTGGATTAGCTCAGTAGCGACAACCTTGGCTCCCACAGCCACTCCAGGACCTGTGTTAGACCCCCCCAGCTGGCATTGGTAGCGGGGACGGGGGCTTCCCTGCCCTCCCTTAGCCCCCCCCCCCCCACACTTCCCCCCCCCTGGCCCCCCCCCCCCCCAACTCTGCCCACTCTGCCGCATGACAGTGGGTTTTACAACAGCCTGACCTTGTTTACTCATCGGGCTAATCCTGCCTCTTAACAGCATTACCAGCAATAAAGGTGCCTTAGTAACAAAGCCAATTTTGACTTTGGGTTATTGTGGTTATATATCCTGCATTGACGCACAAAGGTCTCCCTGGGACCACGGTGACCTGGCTGCGGTAGGGAATGGAAATATCCCTCCTTGGGCCAGGTCCAAAACTGGGCCTTGTGCTCCTTGGGCAAGTCCAGGCCCCTCTGACCCACCTTGGTATCATCATGAAATGTGGCATGGATATAACGTTTTAAACCACTTCTGGAGGAAGAGGTGGCAATACCCACTGTTAGTATCGTTGCCTCGTGGTTAGGATGCTCACCTGGAGAAGGCCCACAGAGATGTGACCCCTCCACTCCAGCATCCGAGGGGCATGTCCAAGCCACCAGGCATGGGCTGTATGGGGAGGTGAGGGCATGTGGTGAAGCGCAGTGCCATAAAGATGAAGAAAATGAGTCACAATCCAGCAAGGAGAGGAGAAACAAGGCTCTGTGCCCACCTGGCACAGGAGCCCAGGTCACGGTTCCCTGCTCATCCTCAGTTTGGGTGGAGGAGACTGAATCAGCCATGCGGGACAGGGTCTGTGCTGTGCTCATGCAGGTCAATAAAAGCATTTGCTTTTTCTAAGAGGAAAAAGTAGATTTTCTTTGAATAAGGGAGATCTCAGCCCCGGCAGTCTCCTGCCCATCCCCGTGGGAAGAGGCATACGACGCAGAGCTTGCCTTGCCTTTCCACTATTCAATTTCAAGCAGGTGGTGCTCAGATCAGAGGGTGCCTCAAAACATTTAGAGGAAATCAAGTTACCAGCTGTGATTAATAGCTGGTAAATGTCTAATAATAACAGACACATTTCTAATGCATTTAGAAATACCAGGGCTCTCGCCTCCTCACCTAGAGCAGCAAGGTGCTGAGTGCTCCTGAGCCACAGAGCCCCTCAGCAGCACTTAGCTCAATGGCTTTATTGGCTTTTTTGGACCACACATCCGCTAAAGCCATGGGGAAAGCAATGTGGAGCAGGATGAGGAATACAGGGGCAGTTTTATAAACATTTGAGATTATTCTTTTCCCCTAAGAAAATTTCAGTTTTGCAGAGAACAGAGGTGAAATTTACTAAGCCTTTTTTTTTTTAAGGGACAAATAGTTTTAATCTTTGGATATATGATGCTGACCTCTTCCCCTCCCCATCTCACCCCATGGACACTGGAAGATGAAGTTTCCTTTAAAATGGTGATGTCTATGTCAGTTAAACAAAGTAATGTGCTTTGAGAGATGTGATTGCATCCCTGAGCTTGGCCCACAGAAGGAATGGAGCCATCTGCACTGCCAGATGCAGCCAGCTGTGTGCCCCACAGGAGAAACACATTTCATTGGTAAATTTATTTGACTTACTTCTCTGCTTTGAACCACTAAAGCAAAACAAAAGAAGAAAGAATCGTTGGGGAGGGGGAGTCGGAAATGTTTTCTTGAAAGAAACTAACGTAATCTCAAAGCATTTTGACCTTTCCTTGTATACTCTAGGAAAACACCGTATTTAGCTGAAAAAAATTAAAACCAAACCAAAAAGAGATTATATTTTTCCTCCTGGTTGAAGATTGGGGGTGGGGGGAGTTTCCTTTTCATGATATTCCTCATTTCAGTCCCTCTGTTCCTTCCTTCTCGTCTTCCACATCCAGTCCCTCTGCCTATATCCATGTGCAGCTCTTCCCCTCCGCATCTCCCAGCCCCTCCTTCCCAGCCTTGATAATTTCCAGGTTATGCTACATCTCCCCATGGGTCAGCTCCCACTCACCTCCCTGCAGCAAGCGGAACCCTGCTCGCCCCGGCAGCTCCCCATCAGCCTCACCCCTGCGTGCCAAGGAGCCACGGGGACAGGGACAGGGACAAGGACAGGGACAGGGTGGGATGGGATGGGATGGGATGGGATGGGATGGGATGGATGATTCTCAGCTCCCTGCTGCTGCAGGACTGATGCTGTGGCAGAGAGAACTGCTGTGAGCATGCAGTCCTTTGCACCATCTCAGATATGCTCTGGGGGTTTTAAGAGGGAAACCCCAACAGAGGCTCTGCAGGTGGAGTGATTATAAGCCCAAAATAAAATGCTCTTTTCCTAACAGGGATGATCAAGGGCGGAAAGCCAAGGCCCATGACAATCACATGCAGGACCTGTGAAGGGCTTTATTTCCTAATGCATGTGCATCCAGTGAAGCGGGGGTATGTTCTAAACCTGTGCCAGTTGAAGACATACAAGTGCTTAAATGCCTGTGGCAGGCGCTGGAGGAACCTTTTTAGAGATACATGAGGTGGGACGAGTGCAGACCCTGAACGAAAGCATATGTCAAACACCAGGTGCTGCAGCTGCTGCAGCCCAAGCTGCTCTGTGCCGGGAGCAGCTTCTCCACCAGCATTGCTCAGTCCACAGCACGAGGGCAGAGCTCCCAAGGGAGCAAGGCTGTCTGTGAATGCAGCCAGCCATAGCCCCAAAAGCAAGGAATGAGCAAATTCATGGGGTCTGGAAGAGTGACTTGGGGAAATGCACATGGGAAGTCAGAGCCCCGCAGGACCGGGGCTCCGGTAGCGAGAGGGTCATCCGATGGCGGATGCGGCAGGCTGCGGCGCAGCCTCGGCGTTAGGCTCCTTGCGAGCCTTTCCCAGGGAGCAGCTTGTCATCGCCCCAGGAATACTATACAGTCTCACTCCTCACAGCGCGTGATGAATTGCAATATCCTAACAAGAACACATCACTTTCAGAGCTGTAACCAATATACAAGTCCATTGGCAGCAGATGTTATTAATGATGCCAATACATATTTTCATATTAATCTTCCATACTAGGCTTGTGTCTATCTGCAAATGATTATCATTCATTTTCCTGACAAATCTATCAAGATCATTTATTACTGTTCGGCAAAGGATCTTCTTTTAAACAAAGATTAATAACATTGCATTTTATCTGGCTGGCTGAGCCAAAGGAAATGAAATTAACAATGAACCCTACAAACATGTCATCACTTTAATTTACCAGAAAATATTTTAAAATGTTATTTAAAAGAATATACGCTATGGTGGGCACAGTTTATTACAAAGAAAAGAGATGAAACTGCATGCATTTTAGCAGGGTGGAGGGTAAGCCAGCAAACAGGACAGCGTGTTTTCTCTGGTTCCTCGTGCTCATTTTCTGGGACAAGGAGGGAGCAGCGCACACAGCCTTCTTGGTGTGCACAGATGGGCACCTGCCCAGGTGAATTGTAGCTGGAAGTCACTGTTTCTGTGTTACAGTGGATCCTACCTGGAATCACAAGCTCTCATCCCTGCAGGGAGCACTGCTCTCCTTGCATTCCTATAGAGGGAAATTTCACCAGGGTAAAGCTCATGAAGATCTGAGGGAGAGGAGGGGAACCGTGAGCTGACGAGTCCCAGCACCCTTCTGTACTTCTGGTCCCTATGAGGAAAAAAAATGAACTCAGTAAATTTACATGGGTTAGTTTCCTTCCTTCTGCACTGCCTTCTTACTTTCCATTCCCCTCATTTGAATAAAATAGTAATAAACACTGTACACCAAAGAACACATCAGAACCCCCTCCTACTTTTACTGCAAATAGTAATGCAAAAACCGAGTATCAGCTTTGCCTTTGCATTTCTTTGTTCATACCCATAAACTTACCTTTTGAGCCCTGTTTTGGTGCATGTACCCACTGCTGTGTCTCCACAGGACTTCCCCCATGTGCCTGGCTCTGTGCTGTGACATCTCTGGCAATAGGAATCCCACCACTCCCCTCCACAGCCTTATGCCTGGAAGGTGTCCCCCACCCCCCAACACTGCAGCCCACTTACCATTTCTCACTGCCGAGTGCTTCCAACACCAGCAAATGACTCCTCTTCCTTGCTGGTGGGGAGAGAAGAAGGTTGCTTAAAACAATTTTTAATTACATAATCAAGAAGCGTTTCTCCTATAGATAATAAAGTCAACTTCCTACCTTCAGTGGATTCATCTTATCTTACCCAGATACCAGGTTAGGAGCAATGTTTTAAACCCCAGACAAAAGAAAATAACCCTGCTAACCTCAAGCTGTAGCAGTTTCAAAATGCTGACATATCAGTGAGAAGATTTCCAAGTGTGCATTTGTGTATCTCTGCGGAGCAGCAAAAGCAGACTCACTAAATTCGCTGGTATTTAACCATACATTTTATAGATATATAACAAAGTCTTCTGGATTTTTTTTAAATTAACAAGTCCTCAATGTAGCACAGGTCTTCAAAAAT